ACGAAAAGCGTTTGCATCGTAAAAAGCTACAATGATTATGCATCTAATCATAGACCACTATATAGTGGTCTATGATATAACCCTCGCCCGCACATGGGGGAGCCACCCCCCCCCCCCCTCCAGGTAGTTTTTCTGCTCTGCACTCAACATTTTTAGAGCTAGTTAGAAGCCTGATTTTTCGTATAGCTGCTCCTCTATCCTTTCTTGATGTCCACTGAAAATTTCAAGTTTCTGTGGTTTTTGGCTTTGGAGATATGACCTTGTTCTTCAGGTCATGTCATGACCCAAATGACAAATAGGTACATAATATCTTGCGTCGGCTATGGGTCTTGTGAGCTTTTGACACCTTGACTTCGGCCTTTTTTGTTAGTCTTACCTCCCACCTATCATGGAACATGTTGTTCGACGATGTACAGATGTAAAGGTCAGTGTCAAGGTCAACCTAGGTCATCTAAAACCATTGCGTTTTAGGCAAGCTGAATTTACTTTTCGTGAAGTTTCTTAATGACTGTATTTTTGGTAAAACCTTCTCATTTCATGATCTCATGTATTATGGACAGTGGACACATAAGCAATCGGTGCACACATCAGTATACGCACAGACACACACAGACATACAAACACATATCATTAACCTTGACCTAACTTGACCTTAAATGACCTCAGCAGCAAAAACCTGGTCGGATAGTGTGACAAAGAGGTTCTGGCTGGCTGGGCACCAGAAACGGCATCGTCATCGGTATATGATAAGCAGCGCACTTGATATCCAACGGTGACCCAAAACAGCAACATTTTTTAGTTTGACCTAGCCTGGAAGGTCAATGACTGACCTGAGAAGGAAAAACTGGGTATCATTGGATTCGTCCCTTCCCAAAGAATCTTTTTGGTCTTTACCTTGAGGCTCTATCTCCAACAGGAACGAAATGGCGCGGGGGGTAGCGACCCCCCCCCCTCATGTGCGTTCTACGATGGGAAAATGGCATGTGCGGGTGAGGGATAATATACCTATAGTGTTCAAACTTCAAATGTTCATTGATGTAACCCTAGATTGAAGAAAGTGATATAAACTGATATCGTATCGCCTCACCAACCGATGACAAGTCCGCTTGTAGGTAGTAAATGCAAATACTTTTGCCTACAAATTGTTCATAGAAAAAAATCTGGCTCTTTGAATCCACACTGATATGCAACAATACTTCCAGATTTTCGCCAAGTTCCATGAAATGTGCTGTTGCATGGACGTTCCTCACAGGATAATGGCCGCAGCTTGTCGGACCGGTTGGTGCATTGTCTTGACCGGTTTGCTTTAGTCCCCGTAAGAAAAATAGGCAACTCTTATCGGTCATCACATTGCACCAGGCGAAGACCATGCTGGCCTTTCCAGGAGATTGGCTAGCATCTCTAGGCCAAGGATAACATTCGAAGATGGTGCCAACCATAGACATTGCATAGCATAATGAGCGACGTTTTAAAGGGACCCTCTCACCTTCAAAAAGTTTATGAATTGGCATGAAAGTGATGTCGCTCGGTTCAGAAAGAGCGAAAACGAATATCTACCAAATTTCACCGAAAAATATTCACCGGTTTTCAAGATATTAGACTTTTACTTTTGTTTACTTTTTGAGATCTCCACTGTTCCTAGCGACTTTATTTGGAAGCAATAGTTTGGCAGCTGAAAGTGCGGCACTTGTTGCGCGCAAAGCAGCAGAACCACCGCGTGCTACAAAACGTTTTAGTCAAACATTTAAAAATCGTTATATATCTGCGCTGACGTCACACATTCAGAGGGGTATTCCTATGCATTAGCCCCTCTGAATCAAAATGCTGCAATTTTGAAATTCAATATTTCCTATTTGAGGCATTTCTCGATGTTGTGAGTGCCGAAACCGGTAATTGTGAGCCAGGGACCCCATTTTGGCTATCTCAACTCAAATCTAATGTTAAGGTGGGAGGGTCCCTTTAACAGGCGACACATGTTTGTTTTATCACTATCAGAATGAATTCAGGGATAATAAATGATAAGAAAATAAATACAATAAATAAATAAATAATAAATAAAATAAATACAGAAATAAATAATAAAACAACTAAATAATAAGTAGGTAATCATAAATTCAGGGCTAATAAATAGCAATCAAGAAACACAAGTGGAATGCTAAAACATTAGATAATTGATAAACATGGCTCTCAAGCACGCCTCAATGATTGTAGCATAAACGTCACTTGTAAAACTGTACATTATCGCACATATGTATTTATCATTATATAATGCGCCTACAGTCTCAATGTTCGTGTGATAATCACATCTTTCCCGGAGAAAATGCCGGAAAATATTCGGAGCCTTACCAGAATCTGAGGAAAATGCTTGCGTAGTGACTGTGAAACTATAATAGTTCATTCGAAGATTAACGACACCTTTAGGAAGAAGCAGGGGCGGATCCAGGAAAACTCCAAGGGGAGGGTCATGAATCGAAGTGGTGCCCCTACCTATACCCAAAATTAAAAACTCAACGGATTTCGTCCACTTCATTTTGGTGGTGCCCCAATTTTCAGTTTTTATTTTTTATTTTTAGTCAGTATCTTACCTCTTAGCCACAACCACATTTACCAATTGTAAGCAAGTATATATGAATGTGCTATGTGTATATATGTTGTGGACGCTGAGTAATGAGTACTTACCAGGAACGTTATCAGGTAAGCAAATCGTCAGTCCGACGAACTTGACCCTGGCGTCTAAAGGGTCTGTCCTTGACACTTCAGGCTTGTCAGGGGCACCAAAGTTCTTCCAGGGACACCACAAACCTGTCAGGGGCACCTACGGCCTTTTAGGGGCGCCACAGGCCCGCCAGGGGCACCACAGGCCTACCAGGAAGCAGGGGCACCACAGGTCTAGCAAGTATACACGACAGGCCTGTCAGGGGCACAACGGGCCTGTTGGGCCCATGAGCACCCCTAGGGGCAGGGGCACCACAGTCCTTCCAGGGGCACCGCAGGCCTGTGAGGGGCACCAGCGGCCTAGCAGGGGCACCAGTCAACACAGGCCTGCCAGGGGCACCACAGACCTGCCAGGGGCACCAGAGGCCTGCCAGGAGCACCACCGACCTCGCAGGGGTAACTTGGGCCTGTCAGGGCCCAGGGGCACCACGGGCCTGTCGAGAGGCACTTCAGGCTTTTCAGGGGCACCATAGTCCTCTCAGGGCGCAGGGGTAGCAGGGGCACCAGAGACCTGCCAGGGGCACTACAGGCCTAGCAAGGGCACCACTGGTCTATCAGGGGCACCACGAGGCACGAGCCTGTCATAGCCAGGCATCTCAGGCTTGTCAAGGCCCAGGGGCACCACAGGTCTGTGAGGGGCACCAGCGACCTAGCAGGGGCACCAGTCAACACAGGTCTGCCAGGGGCACCACAGACCTGCCAGGGGCACCAGAGGCCTGCCAGGGGCACCAGCAGCCTAGCAAGGGCACCAGAGGCCTGCCAGGGGCACCAGCGGCCTAGCAAGGGCACCAGAGGCCTGCCAGGGGCACCACAGGCCTAACAAGGGCACCACGGGCCTGTCAGGGGCACCTCAGGCTTGTCAGGGGCACCTCAGGCTTGTCAGGGCCCAGGGACACCACAGTCCTTCCAAGGGCACCGCAAGCCTGTCAGGGGCACCAGAGGCCTGCCAGGGGCACCACAGGCCTAGCAAGGGCACCTCTGGCCTGTCAGGGGCACCTCAGGCTTGTCAGGGCCCAGGGGCACCACAGTCCTTCCAGGGGCATTACAAGCCTGTCAGGGGCACCAGAGGCCTAGCAAGGGCACCACAGGCCTGCCATGGACACCACAGGCCTGCCAGGGGCACCACCGGCCTTGCAGGGGCGCCTCAGGCCTGTCAGGGGCACCACGTGCCTGCCGGGGACACTTCAGGCTTGTCAGGGGCGTTACAGTCCTGTCAAGGCCCAGGGGCACCAGGCCCGTGGTGTCCCTGCTAGGCCTGTGGTGCCCCTGGCGGTCCTGTGGTGCCCCTGTCAGGACTGTGATACCCCTGATAGGCCGGTGGTGCCCCTGGAAGGTCTTTGGGCCCCCGGGCCTCAAGGGGGGGGCCATGACCCATGTGACCCCCCCCTTGGATCCGCCCCTGGGAAGAAGCTAGGTGATGGAGTATCATACGATACGAGTTTCACATTTGGGTATTGGTGCAGGTGCCGACGGGGATCACACTTCTACGCATAAATTATGAATCAGTTATTTGTAAATTACATAAATGTCGAGTCAATTTCGCCAAGGTTCAAACATAATAGCCGTTTTCACAACGGCCATCTGGTACACATTTGGTGCACATCTGGTGCAGATAAGGTGCAGATTTGGTCATATTAGGTTCAGTGTGTCTCTAAGCAGCTATCGGCTAGGGTTGCACTAGTTGCTTAGGTATATGCCTGCTTTGTCATATTATCAGAGAGTATCATCGATTAAAACACGGAAATAAATTCATAAAATAAAGATATTTGCTGTTAAAGAGATTAGGTGCAGATTTGGTCAAATTAGGTGCACTCGCCGGGTAGCTCGTCGTGAAAACGGCTAATATCTAATACATCTCCAGCACTCACATTATTCAAAAACTTGAGATGGTCATGTAGGCGGCGCATTTTTACACGGTAATTTCTTTTCAACAATCAATTTATCTTAGCAGCTTTCTTAATATTATTTTTCTAGCATCGTTGCACAATAACCATTTATTTGCAAATTATAAGCCAACTAATTTTCAACATACCCTGCATGGAAAAAATGCTGATCAAAATGCATATAGGTAGTTCGTCATGTAGCAATCTTGCTCACATTAGCCCACAATTTGATCGAGCAGAATCACTGAACATTTTTTTTTGTGTCGGTTTTAACCAATCGCACTGAAAGGGGCAGCCATTACCGATAAACCTTTCCTTTCAAAAGCAAGGCGCCATGTTCCCCACCTTAGCCCTGTCCCAGTGTCAAAACTCTGCCATCAGACGGACGGACAGCGGACCCACCTTGGCGGCAGCCTCCTTGAAGATGTTGAGCTGCTCGGCAGCCTTGTCGCGATCGTTGTTCACCATGGCGGCGGCTCGGCGGGCGGGTGCGAACTGCGCGACGGATGGAGTGTGTCAGGGAGCTCTGCTAGCGGCCGGCTCTCGGCTAGGAGTGAAGGGCCGGCCGGCCGGTCACGACTCTATACCGCCTTCCCACCACGGCCGGTCGGGGATGGGCGACCCCAGCACTGCTACCCCCCCCCCCCCCATCTCCGCACCGACGGACAAGTCGGGAGGGACCGTGCCATGAGCTGCATGATGCAAGAACCGGACGGCGGTGGAGGAAGAATAAGACGCTGTTCCCGTCCAACGGTTGGTGGCGATGAGGCAAAATGATCGGGCGCTTATGTTACATAATAATGAAGACTCGAGAGTGTAGTTATATTTGAAATTTTTGATGGGTTGTAAAATTAAGAAGCAAGGATTCGAAAGGGTACGAAAAAGATCGTTAGCTAAATTATTGGATTGAATGTCACCTGTATCTCAGGACATGTCACCTGAAACGGCACTTTAAATGAAGCAAAGCTGCACAAAACAACGAGCACTTCACACTTGCCTCGGGTATGTCTCGAAAAACTTAACTCGTTTGAGTTCGCTTGAGTTCGCATCTCTGATTTTTCCACCTCGTGCTTTCAACACATGGAAATCCGCAACATCATCGTGTTCGGTAGTTAATCAGATAAGTCTATTTTCAAAACTCAGCATTTTGCAGGCGAGTAGCTTTAAAACTGGATAAATCATGGACTAGCTAGCCTCTGCGATGGTTGGGCAGCCTGGTGAGGCGCCCACCGAGCTACCGGATCCACCATAACGCAGGGCCTCGGCTAACATGTTAACTGGTGGGCCAAATGGCCCACCAGTGACCCGAAATGGCCCACCAGCCTCAAAGATTTGGCCCACCAGTAATTTTCCGAAAAATCTAAGTTTTCACATTTCAAATTGAACTAGCAGATCTTATCGTACATTTCCAGGCTGTAAAGTACCCATCGGTGAAACATATTCTTGTGAAAAAACTTCAACCTATTGTTTGCAATATCCTCTTGGGGTACAAAGTGGAAAAACAGACCAGTTCAGACAATCGGGGATAAGCCTGCGAGCGATCTCAGACGGCTGGCCGATAGACACGATATAAGCCAGAGTCAAACTAGAGGTAGTGTCGGCGACTTCCAGCCGATTGAAGTCTGCAAGCGATATTAATACTGCCGAATTTTGGCCACGACCCTGTCGCCGAATCGCGTCGTGTAGAAAATCGGCGAACAGTTTTACCGACAGAGGCGAACAGTTCGCCGACAGAGCCCGATTTGCAGAAAACGGGTGGGGCCCCCCTAATCGTGCGCGGGTCGAAGCTGATCCATGTTTCGGCGAACATCGCGAATGAATGGCGAATCTGTTGCGAATAGTCGGCGATGCCTTGGCATCAAGTCGACGCACGCAGCGACATGTCGGCGGCGACTCGGCGACTGTTTGGCGATCATGTTCGTTTATTATAAATTCGGCTAACGGCCACGAAATTTTCATTTTTCATGAAATATTCGTGGCGGTCGTGACAAACCGTAAAAGTCACGCGGTGGACACCGACTGGTCTGCGAAATGCCAAGACCGTGGAAGAAAGATCCCGAATCGGTCCGTGACATAGGATGACTTGCATATTCGTGCACATTCGTGTACCAAAATTCGGCTTTATGCGTCTTCACGACCGGTATGATGCTTGCAGTCACACATCTGACCAGTCGGACGAATTTCGAACCGTTCACAGTCACCGTTCCAAAAATTTCTCATTTGGGCTGAAGATGACGGTGACACTCAAGAATATGAAAGGATAATTTTCCACTCTCACCTTTTGGGTGGCTAGAATTTTCCACTCAGACACCCAAGACAAATCGGAAGTTTGGGACACTGTTCACCAGAAGTGTACATAACTTTTTTTAAAGAAAATATTAGGGTTGCGCACTCACGCGCAGTGCGCTTGGGCTTTTGAGTCAATTATTTTCCATGCGACACCAATAGGCTTAATGATCATTTTCAGACATGTTGGGGTTGCTGCTACAACCCTTTTTTGGGGTTCCTGCTACAACGCACTTTATATATAAAGTTGCACTCGTGCTGTTCACAATTCCTCCCGATCCACCCGACAACGCCCGATCTCTTCCGACCGCTTCCGAATCTCCGACTAGTCGGCGAGCGATCCACTCAGGGCTCGCTGATTTTTAACATCCGACCGGCCGTAAGTTATCGTCCAAAGTTTTATAATCTGCGTCAATATTTTGTGCATACTTGTGCGATTTTATGTGCACTGCCGGAGTATCACCGTTGAGAGGGTTGTGGGTCCCTTGTCTCTCCTCTCTCTGAAGAGTCGGGGGGGGGGTCGAACCCCGTTTTTTTACACATCCTGACATTTTTTGCAGAATAAAGTGGCCGAAATCTAGGGAGAAATTGAAAATTGGGGTGGGTGGGCTATGGCTACGAAGGTCAGTCCATGTCGCTGCCCAAGTGGCCCACCAGTCAAAATTCCTTAGCCGAGGCCCTGCCATAACGAGCTCAGTTGGCGAACGTTAGAATATGCGCCAGACGTGAGTCGATTGGTTGAATCGAAAACAGTGAACAAATACAATTTTTCATCCATGTGATTTATGTTTGCGTTTCACACTGACTTTGGGTGACATGAGCGTTTAGAATGAAACATCCAGCAACGAAAAAAAAAGCATCTCCGAGTAATGCAAACGGCTAGAAGGGAGCATCTCACAAAACGGTATCTAATTGTCCTGATAAAACGTTTTAGAAATTAAATAAATAATTTAGTCCCCACCATCTGAAGTCTTTCAGATAAAGTTGTAACATGTCGGCGTGCTCCTATAATAGCGTAGCCTCAGCAGGAAATAACGTGCATGGATTGCGGTGAAGACGGCGTTGGTGCGCTTTCTCAGTCATACAAAAAAAAAACGCAAGAAAACTACCCATACCTCAAAACAACGGGACCATACATACGCCACCATATTGCTGATATAGAACAGTCTATGACCTGGTTTATAGATGGAAAATTGAACGATCATGATATGGAGAGGAAGAGAGGAAGAGAGAGAAAGAGAGAGAGAGAAAGAGAGAGAGAGAGAGAGAGAGAGAGAGAGAGAGAGAGAGAGAGAGAGAGAGAGAGAGAGAGAGAGAGAGAGAGAGAGAGAGAGAGAGAGAGAGAGAGAGAGAGAGGAAGGAAGATTGGACTATGCTAGCAGCGCATCCGTCCCTTCATCACAATTGGTCATGGCGTTAAAAGTGAGTCAAATTTGCTTTGTGGTGAACCACATTGCAAATGTAAATAGCATCTAAACAGCTTTACGAGGCAACATGGCAGGTAAGGCAAGCTCACGTCCTAACGTCGGTTAGTGGGGGTTGGGAAACAGGATATCACACGTAACTGCACAAATGAGAGATGGCTGTCATGCAAACTGTCTGGTATTGTTGAACTGCTAACCAGTGGATGCATTGAACAGGTGTGGTGTGTATCCCAGCGGGCTATTGAACTGAATTTATGGTTTGTGGTCGGAGCTGTGAAAAGGCGCAATGGTAACAGAGCTACCACCCGGTGCAGAGCCATCGCAGCTGTATTTATAGGGTGGTCATTGACGAAACGGTAAAATGGAGGAATAAAAGCCTTTATTCGAGTCTTCTGCTTACTTTCGTCGCCATGCAAATTCAACGGCGTAAAAGCTGCTATACATTATTTAAAGCAGACATGTGCTTGGATCCCAGAAAAGGGATCTGGGATCTGATCCCTCAGATCCTTATCTCGGATTCGTCGAGATCATAGGTCCAGCTTTGCAATTTTTTTTAGAGATCCATAGAGATCATAGATCCGAGTCAATTTTTGTTCTGCTTGGGATCCAGTGAGATCACAAATCATCATTTATCGTCAATAGAACTCCAAAAAAAATCACTCGTTGCAACTTACAAACGTTCCGATTTAGTGATTTTATGTACCTAATTGCACGTTTAATCCATAGTTTTGTGGTACTTATTAGCCGTTTTCACGACGGCCATCTGGTATACATTTGGTGCACATCTGGTGCAGAACAGGTGCAGATTTGGTCAAATTAGGTTCAGGGTGTCTCTTAGTAGCTATCAGCTAGGGTTGCACTAATTGCTCATATGCCTGATTTGTCATATTAACAGAGAGTATCATCGATTATTACACAAATAAAATCATAAAATAAAGATATTTGTTGTAAAAGAGATTAGGTGCAGATTTGGTCAAATTAGGTGCACTCACCGGATAGCCCGTCGTGAAAACGGCTAATGCCATAAAAAGACTTGGAAACCTGATTTCAAGTGTTGTGCATGGTGGGATCAACTCAGATCATATAGATCCGTATTTCTAGTTAAGCGTCAGATCCTGTGAGGTCATAGATTCATCACTCGGACCCATGCACATGTCTGATTTAAAGGGATAATAATTATTTGTTTAACAGCATCGTTGCAAATGCAGTTACATTTTCATATTGTTTTCAGTAGAGTATGCATTTATAACATGCTCGCTAAGAACTGGCCCGAAAGCTTCCGACCCGACTGTGAAACTGGGATGGGTTTGGCAGTCACCGAAACAGCTTGGACTGGAGTCATGAGTGATTCTTGAAAAAGAGTTCGATCATGAGTGACTCTTGAAAAGAGTTCGATCATGAAGTGGAACAATCAGCAGAACGGGTGAAAAGTTGATAGGCATGCTAGGAACCTGAGACAGTCATCGAGAAGGGGAGGGGACAGAGATGCCGCTTAGCTCCCTTGTTCGTCACTCAGATCGGTATCACACGACATATCTTAACCCGCGCATGACTGGGGGGGGGGGGGCTCTACAGAGCCCCCTCCCGTTTTTCGGCAACTGTTTGACGGATCAACACGAAACCTGCGGTACTTTCAGCGGCATCAATTTGACACCTTGTGTTTAAATTTCAACTTTCTATTTAGCATAGTTTGGCCGGAAATGACGTCAGAGTGACGTCATGTCGGCCGATTTTGATATTGAATTATGGCAAACGCTCTCAACAGCTTAGTTTTAAAGCTAGATC